GTAGTAGTCCGCTCTTTGTAGGTACAGTACGTGTATGTTCAAATGTGTGTGCTTCAGCTTGTTTTGTTTTGTTTTCAATGATTCGTGAATACACAAGTCCCGGGTGATTGTTGGGCAATAATACCGGTAGCCTACATACGCGAAATCGATTGATTGATTCTTGGCAATAAGCATTGCAAAGACAACAGAGACTTTGAAAATGTCGAATTATGATGAGCCCACCTGGGTCAACCCAGCAACAAATGACGCTCCAGCAACCACAGAGGAAGCTGATACAGGAGGACATGTCACGGCTCCCCCAACGCCAATGTAAGTCTCATTGCGTATCCAAGAGTCACATTTTCTCAGCAGCGTTGTACATATACTGTCGTATTACATGACTGATGATTTCCAATCGGCTATTTAGTCAAAGCCGATTCCATCATACTCAGTCAGAATTTACAACTCTTGACCTTAGCGTTGTTCCCATGCACTTTCTTTCACTCGATTTCGACTCATACATCGTCTATCTGCTTCCAACCTTTCCAATGCGATGAATTTAATAAAATGCAGTGAGGATTACAAGAGGGAATCCAAAAAGAGTCTCCCCCTTATGGTGATGAGCATTTTGAACATTGGATCAGCCGCCATGATGGCAGCTTTGGGAGTTCTCACCCTGGTTGAAGTCAACAAATCGGGCAGTGTCAATAATCTCAGCGAGCCATTTCTAGCTTCCTACATGTGCATGTTTGCCCTCTTGTTGGGATTATACGAATTAATGTGGTGGATGCCGACTCCCAATATCAACCGGGTCATTCGCAAGAACTTTGGCTTTCTATATGGCCTTTTAGGAAAAGGGTTCTATCTAATCTTTGTGGCTTGTTTGTGCGTTGGATTGGGAACAGATGCCCGCATTAAAGTGTTGAATTACAGTACTGGTGGATGTTGGATTGCCATGGGACTGGTTCATGTATTCATCGTTTGTTTCCGGCCCGAACTGGCTGTTCAATATCATGCACCCACTGCCGGTCTATCTTCACCGAGCGATCAATTAACCAATGTAGTATAGGCTACTTATGGGCAAAAACAAACGAATAATGTTTTTAATATACTCTTGTTCATTTTCTCTAAGTCTTTGCACTTTTATCTCTCTATTACACTGCTGCGCATTTCATTTCTTTCATCGTTTCTATTTCCACGTTTAGTGAAGCCTGAGACAAAGTGCAATACAGAAAATCTAAAGTTCATCAGCTACTAGGAAAAGTCGCGATCGGGAAAGAGGCGTGGTGCCACCAAGGTCCAGCAATAGAGACTGATCGCCAACCATTGGGAAACTCCCAAAATAGTCATATTAACATGCCCAACTGTTGGATTGGCAGCATTGTGATTCTCGTCCAATCCGTTCACGGTTCCCCAAGAGGTCAGAATCATTGCCACATAACAGGAAATCAATGCCATGACAACATTCAACTTCCAAACATTGCCAAGATCTGCGCTTTCATCAGAAGAGCTTGTTTGTTCGGTCACCAATCCAGTGGTTGGTTGATTCTCAGAATCCAAGAAAGGGACTTCCAAATTCAAATCACCAGATTGAGGAGCCACAGCTTTGGCGGTCTGCACAGATTCAACTGATAGGCGGGTTTCAGCGGACCAGGACCATCCGGTCCATGCTAGAGACACAACAGTCAACAGCAGTCCAACGGTGATCCCCCAAACATCATTCTCTCCCAAACGAGGGTTACACTCGTGCTTTGGATTCTTGGATACAATAGAAAAGCACAAATATACAACATACATCGACATGACACTGCTAGTGAGCAAGGATCCATCGGTTCCCGACAGTTGCAAGGCAGTCATACCAATGATGGCAATCAATGATAGACTGATGACCCAGGTGTTTCCGGCACAGCCATCGTATTCAGCAAACATGACTCCGATACCAGTAATAGATGCAACATAAAGGGAAACACATACTCCAATGATTGCCTGAAGCCAGCCAGAACCACTGCCATAGGCCAATTGGTCAGCCTCGTTGGCTTTCTCGACAAAGCTGTGGTTTGTTTGCAACAATTTAGAGATGAAACTGGCATCAATCGTCCACCAAAAAGGGCAACATTTTGTTCTTACCTGTCATTTACATTGTAGGCCACGTCAATCAAAATAATTTGTTGCAGGATCACAAAGGCACCAGCTCCTAATCTGGCAGTCCATAAGAAAAAGCCAGAAAAGAGCGGATAGGATGGCACAAACATGCTAATGAGTAATCCGAAGAAGAACAGGGCATATTTGGCGGGCCAAGCCTCTTTGTTCAAATGGGGAATGACGCTTGTAACAATGGCATTGATAACAAAATAGAAGAAGGACAGAAACATCGGGCGGTAGACACCTGCATTTCCAGCGCATTGTGCTAGCAAATCCGGTTGATCTTCGTACAAATCAGCACAGTCATCGTGCCAAGCTTGGTAGACGAACTTTCCACTTCCTGGCATCGCGCGATAAGACTTCCAAATCCATCCAGACTGAGATACAATGGAAGGCCCAACAGCATACTGAAAGTACAAGGCGGTTGCGATGGCAACAGTTAGCAGCAACACTGAGCGCTTGCGCCCGGTAGTTCCTGGCGCAGTCGTTCCAAAGCAAGATTGACACAACGAATTGCTGGCTGAGCAACAGCAGTAAATGGCGGCTAGTGATAACGTTTGTCCCTACATTTGAAAAACAATCAAAATTGTTTCGTTGAGTTCCAGATTGGCGTTCACAGAAACATATCCGAGCTAACAAGCCTTACCATGGTGATATGATGGAAATGTATAGTCCTATTGTACACCAGACGATAACATTTCAATCTTGTTTTGTTGCAGAACTTCGGTTTCGAACGTTAAACTTTTTCGCATTCATTTCCGGGTCCCTTATTGTTCGACTGAAGCGACAATACCTACAGTACAGTAGGATTCGAAGGGCACTCTAATAATGATCACAGTTCTAGTATCATCTATGTTCTAAATAATTTTCTTCGCTTTGCTTAGAGCAATAGCGGTATGCTTGATGAGAGCAAGAAAGGACAGAGAAACCGACACTAACCCAAACGAGTTGTGGTCGTCATCATTGACAACAAAATCAATGGAAAAAATTATCTGCAGCCTTGTCTCATGTTGTATGACATATGCCATACAACTGGAAGTTTTTTCGTGTTCAACGGTGTCGTCACTATACTTCAAGCGTAGTGGAATAAATTCCCGTGCAACACAATCACATCCTTGCCTACTATCCCAACAGTCCTTGTCCAAAGCTACCATCATCCTCGATGTTCTGGTGAGTATTTTTCCTCCCGAAGGCAGGAAATACACTAAATTTCGATGTAGGTATGGCTTTCCCCGCCTTTCCTGCCAGCTTCTTCAGCTTTGCTCCGCTTTCCTTCAGGTTAATCCCCTTTTTCTTCCTTTTCTTATCCTTCACTTGTTCAATTGCTTCTCCCGTTTGTGTTGGAGGTACGGGCAATGGGTCAGGGAATGCAGTGCCAGAACTTGCAGTACCTGGAGCTGCAGGGGTTGGTCCAACCAAGGCAACGTGTGCATCGTTCGACTGTGTTTCAATTGTATTGAATGCATCAAAACTAATGTCTTCTTGTATTGGATCCTTCCGCATGAGCAACGACTCAAATGAACTTTGCTTGTTAGGTGCCCTTCCGGTTGCCATAGCAAACCTCCCGGACCTTTGGCTCCTCTGATTTGAGATTTTGCGTGATTTCTGTCGATCCATAACCATGCTCCTTTGCTGTATCGTGAAATCATTTGGAGCGATTAGAGAGTCTATGTCTGGAGTCTCCAAACCGGTTCGTCTCTTGATTAGGTCCTCCATCTCCTTACGAAAGTCTGCGATGGAATTATTCTTTCTTTGAGTCATTTTTTCAACTTCGTGTGCATACACGATTGCGGGGTCAACCTCTACTGACTTTGACGATTTACCAGTGTGGCTTGTTTTTCGGCTAGCAATAGACTGCTGTCGTCTTGAACCATTCGTGGAGACGGACTCAGTTCCCTCAGGGATTTTTTCTAGGTTGCTATGTTCCGAGATAAGGCTGATTTCGTCACCACTATTCTTGAAAGCGGAGCCACTGTTTGCCTTGCTACCGTTCACTGTAGAGGATGTGGTATCATTTTGCATTGACTGCTGCCTCAATGCGTCTAAAAAGTCATCTTCAGGATTTGGTTCAACATCGTCAAATTCTGGACCCTCAGAAGCATGACTGGACTCCGAAAGGTCATCAAATACAATGGAATCATTGCTAAGTCTTCGCGACATTTTCATCATAACTTCCCGTTCATTCCCTCCGTCCTTCAAGTCCACATCATATTCCTCTTCGGATTCTGATTCAAATATGGATTCCATTGCTTTTCGAAACTCCCTTGACAATTTGCTCTCAAGCTTCTTTCGTTTCTTACGATTCTTTGGTAGATGTCTCCTTTTCTTCTTGTTTCTGATTCTCTCTCCTTCAAAAAGAAACAAGCGCGGTACAGCTTCCATCTTGGCTTCCTGTTTCTTTAGTTCTGCTCTCTCTCTGGCATATCGCATTTGATTAAATTGAGCTACTGCTGCTTTGTCTGCTTTCTCGTTGGCCCAGGTTTCGTAAAATTTGGCATCGCCTGACTTCTTCTCACCAAGCTTGCTCTCGATACCTTCGTACTGATACCCTGTCAGGTCAGTGAAGTGTAGCATAGATATAGACTCCATCATGTTCAGGTCACGAATGTTACTTGAACGAGCCGAGAAGTCCATCTCGTGAAGCGAATTATCTTGTTCTGAATGACTTGAGCCATCACTCTTTGTTACAGATCCGTTCTCTTCTGGTTGGGCTTGCTCGTGACTCAAACTAACGGAATCGTCTTTTTCCTCCTCGACTCTTTCGTCCTCGTTTTGCATCTCCTTGTTATTGCTCTCCTCATCGTGTTTCTCCTCTTCTTTTTCCTCCTCGGTACTGTCTTGCTCCTCTTGATCGCGGAATACCCCAGTGTCGTATTGGGTTTCAAAATTGAAAAGTGATTTGTCGAATACCTCGTCAACCAGACCATCCTCGATCATCTTCTCTTCTTCGTCGATTTCTGTGACCCTTCTGTTTCGGTTGATGCGAAGACTGTCTCGATCTTCGGACGAAGCTTTCCATGGATGGCTCTTATCACTTTCTCTAGAAAACTCTACATTATCTGACTTGCTTTCATTGACTTCCTCTATATCCTGGCTCAACCCGACACTAAGCTCATCGTCAAACCTATTGATTGAGTCTGCGTTGTGACCATGAGCGGTAAGATGTACGGAAAGAGTTGAAGATAAGTGTTTTTCAAATGACTCCCGGGATAGTTCGGTTTCTTCATTCTCTTGGATATTGGAACCGGTACTGAGGCTGGACTTCTTACTTTCGTCGTCGGTCCTTTTCTCGCTAGCAGTTGTGATTGATTTCACTTTTTTGGCACGTTTCTTTACAAAGGAGAACTCTTGGGTTGTCACTTCAGCATCTTCGACCTCGATATCGTCGTCCTCATAAGTGGAGCAGTCTTGACTTTCCGAATCCTCCTCTTCGGAAAGCTCAGGCAAGTCAATTTGTGGGGTTAACTCTTCAACGCTAGTAGGTGACCCGTCTGCCTTGTTGATGTCTTTGCGCTTCAGCTCGATTGTGTTCCGAACAAGCTCTTCTTGCGCCGTTTGCTTTTCTTCCAATTCCTTAAGCTCCTCCTGAAGATTCATAGCCTCGAGCTGTTGTCGGATCAACTCTTCTTGTTGTCGGCGTTGTGACTCAAGCTCGTCCTCTTTTTTCTTTCTGATTCCAAAGATGCCGCCCAAAAATCCTTGAGTGGATGGCACAGCAGATGGCGGGGGTGGCGACATCGGTTGTGCAGAAGCCATGGAAGGATTTTGTAGAGGCTTCTTGTCTGGTTTGTCGTTTTGTGTAGTGGGTGTGGAAGACTGGCGAACGACTGGCTTAGGTTTTTCCTGGTGTGCCTCTGTGCCTTTCCGCACTTTCTTCTCCCGATCTGCCTTCGTGCCTTTGCGTAATTTCTTGTCTCCCTTTGAGACATCACCGATGGAGCCACGAGTGCTTTCTGATGCCTTGACACTCTCTGCACGTGCTTCTTGTCGTTTGGACCTGAGCTTCACAATCTCTTCCAACTCCAGCACGTCCAACGTCTCCCCTCTTCGTTTACGCTGAATCAAAGCAAGTTCGTGGGACTCAACTTGTGCAAGCCTTGTCCCCTTTTTAACCTTCTCCAGAAGCTGGTGCATGTACACTGAGTCATCGTCGTCCTGTGATTCTTCCTTGTATCCATCATGTGTCAAAAGCCTGTCTTTTTTCAGTCGATCCAGCTCGTCCAAGTCTGCGTCGTCAAGATCCTCACCAGCTCGACGACTTTCAAAACAACTCAATTCGAACAACTCATCTTCGTTTAGACTATCACCTTGGCGCATTCGTTGGAATAGTTCCAGTTCGTAAAGGAGGTTTTCGTCCACAAGTTCACCATTTGCTTTTCTCTCTCGGAGATCCATCAGCTCCTTCTTGTCAAGTGCGTTCTCTTCCCTGATTGTCTTCAAAAGCTCCAGTTCCTCAATATCGGAATCCGTCAATTGTTCTCCATTCCTTTTCCGACTGATAATTTCTAACTCTGTAGTTTCATCTTCGCTGAGAGCGACACCTGTTCGATTGCGATAGAGTAGATCAAGTTCCCAAAGAAGATCGTCGTTGATGTCGAGGCCGTTTTGCTTGTCCTCTTGAAGTTGTTGGCGATCTTTGTCGTCATTTGCACGCTGTTTTCTCATCAATTCGAGATCTTCTAATTCCTCTTCGTCAAGCTTGTCGCCATTCCGCCTCTTCTCAAAAAGCTGCAACTCGTACAACTCATCATCATTTAATGGGAGGCCTTTTCGATTTCTCTCATCAAGTTCGAGCTCGTATAGACGATCTACATCGTACTCCTCGCGGCCATTTCTCAAGGTTTGTAAAGTACGAAGGTCGTCACCATGCTGTCGCCTTCTTTTCAGCTGCATAAACTCATCAAGTTCAATGGTTTCGACTGCCCCGCCTCTCTCCTGTCGCTCGAGAACAGATAGTTCGAATAGTTCAGATTTGTCGAGCTCTTTGCCATCCTGCTCAGCTACCCTCAGAATAGCCAAATACTTGGAGTCGTCTTCGGACAGTAATGCGGAACACACTTCGGTTTTGTCTGAATCTTTTGGTGGGTTGTTCCTGAGAACCTCCATGACGTCCAAGTAGTCGTCCATGTCGTCGTCTGTCAATTCTTCACCCATATGATTGCGCTCCAAGAATTCAATCGCCAGCTTTTCCATTTCGTTCAGTTGCTCTCGCTCTCGTGCGCGTTCAAACAGTTCCATTTCGAACAAGAGATCTTTGTCGACTTCTTCCCCAGCATCTCGCTTTGACCTCGTCTCCTGCAATTTTATTTCCAGTTCATTGTACATCAGTCTCCTTTCAATAAAGTACTCCATATCATCGATTTCATCATCACTCAAATCATTACCCTCTTGATGACGTTGAAGGAGCTCTAACTCATACTCTTCTTCGTCGGATAATTGGAAGTCGTTGTTCTTTACATCTTCCAACTCTAAGAGGCACAGCATCACCTCATCGACGTCATCCTTCCGGGCCAACATGGCACGAAGCCGCTCTAATTCTGCTCGACATTCCTCTTTTTTTAGCGCCCCTGATATGCTGCTGTCATTTCTTTCAGGAAGTTGTGGTTCTCTATCTTCTTCACGGAGACTTGTCTCCATTGTTTTATCAGAGCTGGCATGTTGTCTTTCTGTGCTGCTCACATGTGCGGCGGTCGATTTACAGGTATAATCCCCGTCTACATGTTGGGGGCTAAGAAAATTCTCTTCATCTTCTGATTTGGAGCTTGTTTCACTTGTCTTGTCGTGCTCTCCATCCCCGTCACTTGAATGAAATGTGGACAGCAGTGTACTATGATAATTGTCGCCATAAATGTCTACGCCGAGATTTTCATCTTCTCGATCTATGATTGACTCGAATTCCCTGTCAGTCTTGTTTAGTGGCTCATCGCCCTGCCAAACTTGCCCCTTGACTTCGCTATCCTCCTTATAGGAATCGATGCGACAGTCATTCGACTCTTCGCAATCATAGTCTTGTTCCTCGGTCGTTTCAGCAATCAGAGCTTGCTTCGTGTATTTTTCTGTCCCAACACTATGGTTGCCAGAGACGTTGATGGCCAAGCTCACTTGTCGATCTTCGCTGACAGATTGTACTTCTAGAGTACTAAAGAGAACCCCTGACTCTACGGTTTGAGCTGCACCAGCAATTTTGTTGATCGACATCCCGCCTCCACCGGTGCCGCAAACTTGTGCTTGTGATGTGTCTGTGACGGTGGACGCGTTTCCAGTTGACTTTTCATGAAACTGCAGTTCTAAATGACGCTTCTTCTCACGAGCAATTGCAATAGATGACAGACGTCGCGATGGTTTTCGGCGCAGAACCGACCCATCGCTAAGTCTTCGTTCTGCTTCTCTCGAATTCCCGGAACTATTCTGCTGATCAATCACAGCAGTACCCCTAAAATTGGCTTCATATTCCGAAAAAGACTCTTTTCCTTCAATGGATGTATCTCTTACTTCATTCTCAGGAAGAACAGGATCCATTGCACTGGTCTGGACAGCCGATGTCGCATCACACTCTTGTGGTACCGATGTGACATCCTCCACCTTCGATGATT